GAGCATCCGACAGAACAAAAAATTACAGAGGGTCACTTTATAAAAGACCCTAAACAAATGGTTAGATGAATAATTTATCCTATAATTGAGATTGTTATTGTTATAAACTTTAACCCAAAAGCTTAAGTTGTTAGAGAAATGCGTGGTTTAATATTTAATTATTCTAACACTCCCTTTCATGCGTAAGCTAAACTTTGGCTAAGCCTAAAGGGTGGAAATATTAAATATTAAACTGCGCCTTCATCTAACAGTTTAAGCTTTTAAAATAATTGATAGTGGTTCCATCAAATCTCACAAAATATCATAATAGAAAGTCCTGAGTTTGAATCTTTTCAAGTCTTTATTTACCTCCCTAGTTACATATTGCCACGCTTATAATAGGCAAAAAGACCAGACTAAGCGGAAAAGGGAGTGAAAAAACTATTAAATATCAAACTGCACATTTCATCTAATAGCTCAAACTTTTAGAAAAGTTGACAGTAATCTCATAAAATCTCACCAATATACGTCGAATTGCTAACGAGAAAAATTCATATATGCATTATCCTTTTCTTCAAAATAAATAGTTTTTTTTTCAAAATAAATGGTTTACATTCTCAAGATTTGGAGATGTTATTAATTTTTTTTTACTTTTATTTTTCTAAAACTTGGAGCACATGTTGCTTGATTTTTTTTATCACACGAAGCCGCTAAAATTTATTCAAATATATAAGTGTAGACTTGTAAATGTGTATATAAGTTTTCATAATCTTTAATTTCAAAGCAATTATTAGGGTGCGTTTGTTTGAAGAAAAGTGTTTTCTAAAAATCTATTTTCCGGACTTTCACCCGTTTGGTTCACCGAATCAATGATTAGTCAACCGAAAACACTTTCCGGTCAAGGAAAACTTTCATGTATAAATTTAGGAAAGTAAATTCCATAATCTAAGAAGGTAAAAACACTTTCCAAAATTGCTTGTCTTGAATTTTTTAATATTTTATTCTTTTCTTTATTTTTTTCTTTCTTTTTTCCTTTTTTTTTTCTTTTTCTTTCTTTTTCCTTCTTCCTCCCTCTACTGGTCGCCGGCCTTAGCAACGGCTGGTGACTAGCCACAAGTGCGGGCCGACCTCAGGCGAGGCCGAGCTTGCCAAATCTAGGTGAGGCTCGAGCTCGCCAGCTCGAGCTCCGTCAAGGCCAGCGAGCTCGCGACTCGCCAGATCCAAGTGAGCCAAACTCGACCGAGGCTGGTGAGCTCGCGGCTCGCCCGAGGCCGACAAGCCTCAAGCTCGCCTATGGCGGTTGCCGGCTGGTCACGGTGGAGGAAGGATGAAAAAGAAAAGAAAAAAGAAAAAGAAAAGAGAAAAAAGAAAATTAATAATAATAAATTCTAATATTTTTTAAAAAGAAAATAAAAAATAATTAAAAATTCGATTTTTTTTTTTGGCTTAAGATAAAGTCATGAGATTGAAATCATTTTCCAATGAAATCCATACATCAAAAAACGATTTCGATTATATTTCACCAAACAAAGGAAAACTAATTGTATTCTTGGAAAATGCTTTTCGGGAAATCATTTTCCTTAATCATTGAGTTTTCCGTGAAATAAACACACCCAAAGGAAAAAAAAAACCATCAAAAACCCCAAATGATGTCCACTATGACACATTTACTCTAAACTTTTTTTACTACTTTTTTACTACATAAAAAATCCCAAAATATACCCACTGTAACATATTTACCCTAATTTTTTTCTTGTAACATCAAAAACCCTAAACTTGTACTTGCATGATACATCTACCCTCCATCAAGGTTCAGTCAGATGATTTTTCAGTCAAACCGACGTTGTTTTTGTTTCACTTAAGCCATGTAAGCGCCATTCTCAACAATATCCGCCTATCACCGTCCATGAAGACAGATTTTTAACAGTATCCATTGACATAATATTAAAGTAGGGTAAATGTGTCATACAGTTACAAGTATAGGATTTTTGAGGTCACAAAAAAAAGTTTATGATAAATGTGTCACTGTTGATATAATTTGAGGGTTTTAGAGGCTTTTTCCCATTATTAAAATACAAGTTCGAAAGAACTACTAGAATTGCTTTAAAATGCAACTCGAAGATAAGGCTTGACAGGTGGGTGATTTATCCTCTTGGTTGAGAGGCCGTTTTCCAGCTTAACAGAGATAGAATAAAAGAGAAAAGCAACTTGTCCATTTGAAATCAAATTATACTCTATAGACAGAGTATAACAAATAGACTATGTTTGGTTTCTATAAACAGAGGAATTTTGAGCAATTTTGAAGCAATCTATCATAAGATGCCGATCTACATGTAGGGGTTTGATTTAATTTGTTTAATGGGACGTGCAGTGGTAATTGGTGCAACATGGTGGCTTAACTATTTCGTTATGTGTTAGGTGTGCCAAGTCAGCTTTCACCGATTTGATTGATCATCGGTAAAGACAGCCCAGATGGTATTCAGGAGTGCTTTTATTTGACGTCTTCCCACAATCCGTGAAAATTGGAACTTGTTGAATGAATAATATGGAAATTACTACTTTTTTATAGGGTCTAATCTGGCCCAGTTATTTTTTTAATCGTATTAAATCTACCCAATATCTTATTAATCTATCTGACATTATATGCACTTGATAATGTGATATTGACAGATTAATTCATCTTAAAATTAACATGGGACATTCTCTTTGGTTTACCCTGAATGTGCATAATATCTCGTCCGACCCTTCAATTCCTTCTTTCACAAAAATCTTATATAGATTCAGTGCAGAATGCAAGAATATATCTTGCTATTTTTTAATTAATAACCATTTAAGATTTAGACACAATTGGTTATTAGGGGGTTTCTTTGCAAGTTTGGAACTTGATAATGACATGGGTTCTTTTTTTCATGAAAAATTTTATGCCGAAGGAAATTCAAGGAAAGTAATTGATTTCCTCTTGTTTGATTGTGAGCATGAAAACGTTTTCCTTCTGTTAGAAAGGAGAAATCGTTTTCCTAATTTTAAGTGCAAGTACTTTCTTTGACTAGAAATGCTTTTCAGCTTACTTACAATTTTCAACGTTCCAAATATTAGAAAGTTTAGAAAATGTTTTCCTTCAAATTCTTTTTAACGAAACAAAACACTTCCCAGATGCTGAGCTACTGATTGGTTGTTAAAGACGCGAATGATAACCATTATGTTTTCTTATTTTTCTATTTTTTTGTTCCCCAAAACAAGTTTTGAACAGAAATCTATTTGGTAAAATAATTTTATTTTTTTATTTCTGGGACAAATTTTTGCCCAGAAATAGATTTGGAACAAAAATGAGAAGTTAAAATTTTCTACTTTTCTATTTCTGAAACAGAAATAGAAATAACAACTCTTTCTTTTTACTCACTCTTGCCGCCCACCACCGCCCACTCGCCGCCTGCCGCTCGTTACAGGCCATTGGCCCCCGCCATCGCTCATCGGCTGTCTGCTGCTGCCCGCAGGCCGTCCGCCACCACTCGCCGCTCGTTCGCCACCGCCTCTTGCCACCTGCCGCTCTCGTTGCCCGCCTGCCGTCCACCGCCACCCGCCGCCGCTCACCGGACGGCCGACGAGCCACCGCCACTCGCTAGCTGGCCACCAGAAATTTAAGAATAACTTATCAATAGAAATTCTACTCCGAGAGCAGAAATTTTATGTCGTTATCAAACGCTATTTTTTGCTCATAAACTTGTCCGAGAAAGAGAAATAATTTTTTTTAATTTCTAGCCAAAAATAGGCCTGGGAACGAGAAATGTTGTCATTCACGCCCTAACTGTCATGATGTGTTTAAGTAGTCTCCCACTTTTGAGTTTGAAAATAGAGTCTCAACGAACCTACAACAAAGAAACAAAACCATTTTAGATTAGTTTTAAATAAGTCGGTCCAGATAAGAAATGAACGCATCATGAAAAGCTCCAAGGGATGCAATTGTTACTGATAAATTTGTTAGGATGTCTGTAAATAAAATGCACTCGTGGCTCATACATACATTACATGTCTAGCCACATGTCTTTTTTCTACACCCTCTTTGCCAATAAAACAGACGTTTTCAACTTGATTGACCACACTTTCTAGGCAACTAAGGATCCATAGTTGTTTCGATCAAAAAAAAAAAAAAAAGGATCCATAGTTGTCACTTCCTATAGTTTTTTCTTTCTTTTAAAAATTTACTTTTGTATTATTTCTTGCATGCAATGTGAAGAAAATAATTTACTCCTTCCATAGGACAAAAACAAAATCCATCAGATGTGTATTTGGCTAGAAGTTCCATTCAAGATTTAATTTGCCTCTTCCTTCGAATATTATAATCATGAAGACTAAAAAAGATCAAAAGAAAGAGAAAAGGGAAAGAGAAGATGCTCGTAATCTCATATGTTAGGACAATTGTACACATGTAGAATATGGGCACCGTGCCCTTATAGAAAGATATATGAGTATCAAAAGAAAGAGAAAAAAAGGGAAGATGCTTATAGTCTCATATGTTTGGATGATTGCATATATGTCAAATATGTGAACCATGCCCTCATATATTTTTCCTGTGAAAGATAAAATGAGTTTGAATGCAAAGAAATTGTGACCAGGTTTAAAACTTGGTCAAAATCATGTAAAGTTTAGACAAAAGCGCTAGTGAACAATTTTATAACAACTCGAACGAACAATATTATACCGTAAACAAACCAATGAAGTCATGTTCAGATTATAGAGAAATATTTTTGGACTTTGGAACATAATTTTGCTCAAGAAGACATTTATTGTTAATATTGATTCACCTGTCAAGTAAGTGAGCAAGAATTATGAGAAATTTTTTACTACCATTGTAATTCAAAACTATACGGAAGATAGAAGATAGAAGAGCCGTCTTCCCCCATGTGAACAGACGCCAGCACGCAAAGGGAGACGACTATTTCGCACGTGCGAGGTCAGCACCGTCGCCGAGAACGCGTGGGGGCGCGCGCATATAAAGTAAAGCTACCGTTCCTTCAAGTCCACCACCATTGCTCAATTAAGCTTCGCTTCTCTCTGTAGTTCTTCACAGGTGATTACCTTGTTTTCTTTTTTCTCGTTTTTGACAGTAATCTTTTCTTTTAGATCCAACATCGAGTATAGAACTAAACAACGACTTGTTCCTTTCTTTTCTTTTAGTTAATGTCTTCTTCTTCGTTTTGTGTTCAGGGTGATTAGATTACCCAGAAGAAGAAGAAGAAGGTGGTGATCCAATGGAGATCTTATCGCCGAGAATATTTCCCCAAGTAATACTCCTTCCTGTTTTCCGTGATTAGATTTCTTCGAATATAGACGTACCAATCAATAAATTCAATCACATGTTGATTCTTCTTTTTTTTCCCCCGTTTTTGTGGTGAATATCCACAGATGGTTGAAGATGCAGCTTATTTCCATCATCATCATCAGCAGCAACTCAATTCCTCCTTCTCGCTTGATGATGAGTTTGATTTGTTCCATCCACATTTTCCTTCAGAACCCTACTCCAACTCATCTCCATCCAATCCACTCCCTCATATTAGCCCTGAGATGATGCCCAGTTTTGCCGTGCAATCAGTCAAAACTCCTCAAGCGTTCACCGAGAGGCCCCGTAAACAGCTCAAGACCGAGAGCTGGAACTCTCCTCGCACGATGGAGCACAAAACAATGACTCGCAATGCGGTGATAGCGCCGTCTCCATCCCCGTCTCGGTCTCCTGACTCCCACTTGATACCATTCGGGAACCCCAATTCATCTCCAGCCATATCCAATCCGTTCTATGGTAAAGTCTTGGAAGAAACCGAAGTGTATATGTGAAATCAGTACTTCGAAAATCTCTTCTTGTTAAATATTCTTAATAATATTTGTCTCCCTCTGATGTGTGTCAAAGGTACTTATGAAATCCAAAATTGTGAGGGTCCACAGATCAAAAGCGCCAGCGCGACAAGCAGAACGCCAGTATGCGCACAAGATCATGTGCTAGCTGAGAGGAAGCGCCGTGAGAAGCTCAGCGAGCGTTTCATCGCGCTTTCAGCCGTCATTCCCAACCTTAAGAAGGTACAAGTCCTAAAAGCTTGGAAATTATTGGGGTGTATGATTAATGGGTGGGATTAAGCTAGAGATTAGGACAGATTAGTTTTGTTGTTAGCACCCGGCGAGAGAGAAGCAACACATCCATGTGTTAAAGAGTTCCACTTGCCCAAGTGGAGGATTTAATGCATGCTTTCTTGATATGTGGGGTTCTCTAAAAGTAGCTTCTCTCGAACACTTTATGCCACACGCGATTAGTTAATACGCCATAATGGCAATGGTTTCGTTATTTTGTTTCAAAAGATTACAACTTAAACTTGATGCTCATCATGTGATGTGAAACTTGGTAAGATGACCGAAACTCTAAGTTTGCCAACTTAATGTATGTGAAGAAAAGAATGTCGATGACCCACAATCGTTGATAAGCTAAAATCCACAGATGGGCTAATACTAGCTTAAAGTAGATGCACGCAACTAATAATTTCCCATATCTTTCTTGATCCCTGATTTAGGGGAGCCATTTCAAAATAATTTTCACGTCGTTAAAGAATTGTGCGACCCATAAATATTCTACCATTAATTTTAAATGCTTATTTCAGATGGACAAGGCTTCCGTCCTCGAGGATGCCATCAAGTACTTGAAAGAGCTTCAACAACGCGTCAAGACGCTCGAGGAGGAGGTGGCAACGAAGACCGTGGAGTCGGTCGTCATCGTGAAGAAGTCCCAACTCACCATGGATGATGACACGTATTCGTCGTCCGATGATAACTCTTGCAGCCAAAGTGACCAGCGACTCTCGCTCCTGGAAATCGAGGCGCGAGTTTCCGGAAACTGCGTCCTCATCAAAATCCACAGTGAGAAGCGCAACGGTTTTATACCTAAAATGATCGGTGAAATAGAGAAATTGAACCTAACTGTTATGAATAGCTGTGTTCTACCCTTTGGAAGTTCCATACTAGATGTTACCATCCTAGCTCAGGTAATTATATATAACACCACCATTTCTTCAAATTTTTCCCAGCTTTAACACCATATTGTTTGTTTATTTTTCGAGAAATGTTTTATGTAGAAAGAAATCTTACTAAATTTACCAAGTTAATTATTTATCTAATTCATAGGACCCAAAACGTATTTCATGACCCGATGAAAAATAAATGGGTTTTCATGAAACTTCTTAATGCACTCGACATTTCTCTTATTTCCTCCCCTTGTATTTGTAGTTGGCTCGGAGCAAAAGAAAAAATAAACTATATTTATGAAACGAAAATTTCTTGCAGATGGACGTGAAGTTCGGCATGAAGATGGGGGATCTCGTGAGGAAACTGCGTCAAGCTCTTCTGGATTTCATGTGATCTCCTGCAAAATTCTCATCTCGTCAGAAGCTGGCGAGCAATAACGTACAAAACCCTAATAATAACAGGTCATCTGTTTCATTTCCTTTGTATTGGGTCGAACTGTTTTTGAGACCATGGGGGAGAAAAAAACGGTTGCCCGTGAATCACTCTCTCTGATCAGACCACACCAAACTCTTCGCGAACGCCAAAACATTATCGGCTTTCGTTTTTGGACTGGAGTCTCCTATTATTTTGCAGGTGGGTGTTTTCCCTTACTTTTTGCGGGGTTGATCCGTTGACCACGTTCAAAATACCCACTTGCTGCATAAAGGGAAGTCTCCAGGAATTTTTCTAAGAGGGCTTTTAGAGAGAGGCCTGACATTTTCAGATGAGATGAGACCTCTCTCTTGAGATGAGACCTCTCTCTCTCTCTCTCTCTCTCTCTCTCTAAAACTAGATTTCGCATGTGGTCTTACGTGGAGAGGAGAAAACTGGCACGTTACGTTATATCTTTTTTATAAGGTCGAATCAGCTTTTGGGTCGTTTTCAAGAGATGCTGTGTCTTTCTGTTCGCTTCTAGGAATTGAATATTGGTGATGTATGATCTTATTTTCCCACTTGTATATTAATTTCTTGTACATCCATGAGTGATCAATGTGTAGTTATGTACTTGTCCGTGAACATTTGAATACGAATCCAAGACCAGCATCTCCTCTGTTGCCAAGAACATTATTTTTCTTATCTTATTAATATGCGTAGCTGAACGTGACAAGTTATATTTGGTAAGTACAAACGTCTCATCCTTCGAGGAATTATGTTTAATATATCCTTATGTCGTTTAGTTATTGCAGAGCGATTCTGTTTATTAAATTATTCTAATATAATAACGTGTATGCACAAATAAACCATGTTATGATCAATCAAAACTATTTACAACATGATAACACATAATTGATGAATAAATGATATTAAAAGATTATTTACTCAATGAAAAAATGGGAGAAGAACACTAGGAATGCCAAAAGTTATGTACAGTGCTCATTTTAGTACCAAATTTTTTTTTTGAATCACTTAAGTGCCAAATAGGAGAAAAAACGATCATTTAAGTGTCAATTCCGGCCAAATTGATTACATGACCTTTATAATTAAAATTTTTAATATGACTTGGCATAGTTTTTAAAAAATCCAGTCCACATGGATGTCCAAAACGATGTCGCATAATCTGACTAACACTGAAGTGATCATTTTTTAACAATAACTGGTACCGAAATTATCACTTTGAACAAAATTTGTCACTCAAATTATCACTATTTACAATTTTTAGACGATGTCGTTTAAGGATTATATGCTGACTGGGCACACTGGCAAGCCACTTAGGACTGATAAATTAATAAAATATAGCCACGTCGGATTTTCAGCAATCTAGATTAGAGTCGGCACTTAAGTGACTTTTTTTAAAAAAAGTGGCTCTTAAGTGATCAAAAAAATAATTTTTGGCACTAAAGCGAGCGTCGTATACAACTTTTGACACTTTTAGTGTCCTTCTCCCATGAAAAAAATCAATAATTTAATAAATTCATCAATTACAATGTGAAAACTCTCCCGTTCCACTTTGGACAAATGTCCAAATAAAAACATCCTATTCCAAATTCACACAATTTCTCGATTTGGAATTCTTCAATGAACTAGTTCTGTCATGACTGCTGCCCGCAATAAAGCTGGCACCATTACCACCACCACCACCACTGAGGCATGGGTAAGCGGACTATAATACTATCTATATTATTTATGAGCTGATCTCTCTCTCACGTGCATAATTTTGTGTATCACGAAATGATGTCTTCCATAAGCAAACTAAACAAATTGAGCATGACAGTTCGCTGTTTTTTTAAAGCATCTTATTTGAAGCACTTTTAATCTTGTCCATGTCTTCTCCTAATTTTTTTGTTGTCCTTACCGCAAAGGCCTATCCTTAATTCCTTATGATTCCATTGCTTTTTCTTGAAACTTTAGATGGTTTCCCTACTGCCATTTTGAATTTGATAGGATTAAAAAGGATTATGAGATTGTATGAGTTTATGGTGAGATTGTAATTGATTTATGTAACCGTAACTATTTTTGTTAGATTTCTTTCTTTCTTGTGCATATTAGTGGAAACTTGTTTGCATAGTTCTTTGCTATAGAGGTTCGTGCAAAACGCAAATCAAACTCCGGATCTCATGAAAAACAATTGACTGCTTTTACTACCGGATCAACCATTTTAGTAGCAATTTGCTTCCATTGTTATCGTTCATAAGGGGAAATAATGCAGAAAACAGTGCGGACCAGCAAAATGAACAACATTATTTGAAGATCACTAAATAAGCAACGTGTGCCCTATTTCCCATTATCAAATGCCATCAGTACTTTAATTTTGTTGGATGCTTCTGTATTGGTCCTTAAGTAACCAATCCGCATCATTACACATTGCAGTAGAAATTAGGTTATCCATTCTATACAAAGTATCGTACCACACAAATGGCTATTCATTATGGGTGTGTTTATATATAGATAAAATTGGACGATGATTCAATAGTAAAAGTCCGGTCAAATAGTCCCACCCAGCGTAAAGTACAATCAATACTTGGATGTGTCAATTTGTTGAGGCAATTTGGATTTGCGTTTGATTAACTATGAAGTTTCGCATTGAAACACGTTTCATAGAGCAAGTTGGACTTTCAAGCTGAAGTTATCTTCTTTGACCCAAATAGAAAAGAAGAAAAAGATTAAGCTTTTCTAGTCTTTTTATGGACGGTGGTGAGTCAATAGTCTAATCATTCAGTTTCATGAAAAGTAAACCTCTTTTAATTTGCTTTTCTTTTTCTTCTTTCTTTATTTTTCTTTTTGCTTTGAATAAATGACAAGAAAGCTCATCCAAAAGTTTAGGAGAATGCAATAAAATAATGTAATCGAAGTAGAACCTTGACTAGGTCCACCAACGAGTGGTGTGTTAAAAGCATGTGTAAACGGCCATGTTAGTGGACTGCGATGAAGACTTTGAATTAAACAACATTTCTCATATGTGATGCCGTGGCTAAACTTCGACGTATCTCCCATTAATTGTGACAGTCATATTCATAAGTGCTTTAAAAAAAATCTATTAAGCAAAGAAGATATATGATATGGCTGAAAAAGAGTCCACTTTTCCAACCCCTCTCGCTTTATAATTGGGTTTTGCTTTGCTTGAATTTACAGTTCTGTCATGTGAGTTCAAATCTTTTCCGATCAGGAGTATAGAAATGTGTAGAACTACTCATCTATCAAAGACAATAAAAAAAATATAGAATTCAAAATTATATTATTTCATGAGAAAAATGAGGAGATTAATAAAATACGTTTGCTTAATTATTTGAAAATTGGCTTACTTTTCGAATAAAATTCTATAAAGTGCACCGCTAGTGAAAAAAAAGTCAATTTGAACGGGCAAGATTTTCTCAGTGAGAAACGAGTATCTATTAGAGAAAATTGTACCACATTCTGTATATAAATCTCGCACATACAATTGTCACACCTGTCGCGACCGACCTCCCGCCTTTTTTTTTTTACATGCAAAAAAAAGGGAGCTCGCCTGGTACGTGCTAAGTCTAGGTTCGGGACTTAACTCAGGCTTTCCCAAGCCCATACCATATCACGACTTAGGGTTTAGGTTTTTTAACATGCAAGTAGTTTATATCAAGGAGTCGCCACTAATCGATTTGGGGTGGGTCGATTAGAAACCCAAATAAGGTGATGGGAGAATCACCCTATTCCTACGAACCAGAGATTAAATGAGTTCGGAGACTTGGTTACACTAGTTGGATAACTAATGCACTTTCGGTACCTTTTTACCCTGTTCATTTTTTGAAAACATTTGTCAGGCAATTTGGATTGATTTTAGGACCTTTCTCTTAACATGTGAGGTGATCAAGCGAGTGCATAATCATAAATGATCAGCAGCCAAAATAGATATGCGGCCTTAGGTTCTAATCCTAAATAAGTCAGATGACATTCAAAACATAACAGTTCATGCAATTATGTTCTAATTAAAAACATGCATAATAATAACACAACGGTAATAACATACAAAATACTACTGCGTAACCTCATAGGCTTGTCTAATTTAAACATGACAATTTATGAAATTATAACAACATGCATAATAATACAACAATAATTTAAAACATTCAGACATATCACATAATTTAGTGAAAAAAAATTTTAAAAAAATAAATACGGAGAAGAAAAAGAAAAAAAATGTAACTTTTTTTTAAAAGTTTTTTAAAATTTTTTTTAATAAATAAAATAATATTAAAAAAATTATAATAACCGGGTCGTCGGATCCGGGTCGGTCGGATCCGACCTAGGGCGTTGACCCAGGTCGAGTCAGTTGATCCGGATCGGGTCGGAACCAATCCGGGTCAACGGATCCGACCCAGGGCATTGACCCGGGTCGGATCAGTTGATACGAATCGGGTCAAACCAGCGTGCACAGACACGCAAGGGCGCTGGCGGAGCCAAAATTGGCCTTCTGCCGGCCGACCCAGATCGGCACCGACCGTAAATCCGGTCCCTGGGACCACCACCAAGCTTCACCACCCGCCTAGGTCGCCGTCCGACCACCAGCTCGCCGGTCGGCGACCGAATCAAAACCGGCCTCTTTGAGGCATTTTGTCGAGCAGATGGGGGGCACAGCAAAAAACGAGGGACTTCGACCTCTTCCGGCGACCCGATCAGCTCCAGTGACTGTGGTTCGCCTTCGACAGCAAGTAGGGGCCGGGACCGACGACAGTATGGGCCGGGATTCGCGCAAAACGATCGGCGCGAGTCCCGGCCCAACCACGCCAAAAAATAGGGGAAAACAGAGGATTTTCTCGGCCGAGGGGGCTCACCGGTCGACGGCGCATCTAGGTGGCTTTCCGACTGCTCCGTGGGCGACGGCGACGCTGCTGGTTCTCCTTCTTACTCCGGCGGACTCTCGATTTGCTCTCTCTCTCTCTCTCTCTCTCTCTCTCTCTCTCTCTCTCTCTTCTCTCTCTGTTCTCTCTCTCTCTGTGGCCGACCGGGGGGTGCTTCCGGGGGTTGCCGATCGGTTTGCTGGAGACGACGAGGCCGGCTGGGACCTGCAAGACACTCCGAGGCTCCTCTCTCTTCTCTGTTTCCCTCTAATTCTCTCTCTCTCTCTCTCTCTCTCTC